TTTTTCTATTTGTTTGCATGTTTTTCTATTTGTTTGCATGTTTTTCTTCCCAGATGCCCAAAAACAAACGTCCAATGACTGCTGAAGAAATACGACAAAAGAAACGAGAATGCGAACGAAAACGAAGAGCTCGTATTAAGGCCGACCCTGTTTTATATGCAGCTAGCAAGAAAAAAGACAATGAGCGTTATGCTCAAAAACGGTGTAAGAAACAGGTTAAGACAGTTAATGAAATGACGCCAAGAGAACGGCGAATTCAACAACGTGCATGGCGAGAACGCAAAGCTAGGAGTAGGTCCAATAAGAAGCGCGAAGAACAACTCTTGCAGAAATTGAAAGAGAATACACCAGAAACTAGTGCTGATGAAGAAAACAGAGCTAGTCCTACACATAAAGTATTCGAACTCGCTCTGTCTTCTCCGACGTCTTCGTTTTCCAGCGGGTCAATAGGTAATCGAATTCTTAGATCGTCTCCAGCAACAAATGAAGAATCTCCCAGCGTCTCTCGGCTTAGTTCTTCTTTATGTAGACAAAAGCTCACGGGTCTTCAAGTCGCACGGAAACGACGCGATAAAGATAGTTATCAGATAAATAATCAGAAGTCATTAATAATTCGTATGAAAAAGAAGATTCATGCATTAAGAGTGAAACTATTACGGGCTAACTGTAAAATACAAAAATTTAATGAAAGTCCTAGAAATATTTCGTCCACGCAGATTGTCACAAAGAGAATTAAAAAATTACATGCTGCGGTTGTAAATTTCTTACAGCGGGATGACAACAGTAAGCTATGTCCTGGAAAAAGAGATGTCATTACCAATCATAAAATGAAAAAACAAAAACGTTACCTTTCTGACACACTTTCCAATCTTCATAAAAAATTTAAGTCTGAATGTAATGTACAAATCAGTCTTTCAACATTTTGCCGACTACGTCCTTTTTGGGTCGTATCTCGGCAAGTTTCCGAGAGAGATACATGTTTGTGTGTTACGCATGAAAATATGCAACTTAAATTCGAAAATCTAAAATACTTGGGAATATTAAATTCTGCGAACTTAACCGAGCTGTGCAAGAGCGTAGTGTGCGATTCCACTGAAGAGGCTTGTATGTTGCGTCAATGTTTTGTGTGTATAAATAAGTCGCCAGATATAAAACCATTTGATGGTGATGATAACACAACATATAAGATGTGGTGTACCGTAAAGGAGTCAAGAATTATCAAAGGCAAAGAAAAGGAAATTAAAAGAACAGTAAAACAAGAAAAAATGGTTACGAAAAAAGAGCTTGTAGTATCTTTTTTAGAAGATCTGAATATTTTTTTGCAACATCAGTATTATATAATGCACCAATATAAAAATATCACATTTATCAAAGACAACCTTGGTGCTGCAGAAATTTTCATGCAGATTGATTTTTCACAAAACTATAACTGTAAATATACAAATGAAATACAATCAGTGCACTTTGGAGCATCCAGACAGCAAGTGAGTCTTCACACAGGAGTCTATTATTACAGATGCCCCAATACGCAAGAAGTAAAAAGTCGTTCTTTTTGTACAATGTCTGACAATTTACGTCATGATGCATCTGCAGTTTGTGCTCATCTTCAGGAAATCCTCAACCAAATTGTCTTACCGCATGAAATCCATACATTACACATCTTAAGCGACGGGCCTAGTGCACAATACAAAAATAGATATATGTTTTATCTGTTTACACAGTACTTAGCGAAGAAGTCCAATTGTAAGACTGCAACATGGAACTTTTCCGTAGCGGGTCATGGCAAGGGGCCCATGGATGGAGTAGGTGCAGTAATTAAACGAACTGCAGATCGTATTGTAGCTCAAGGTACAGATGTACCTGACTTTAAAACATTAGTAAAGTGTGTTAGAGAAAACACTACTAACATCATAATTTCGACAGTTACAACTATGCAGATTGAAAACATTTCTAATATTTTACCAAGATCCATAAATAGCGTCTCTGGGATTACAAAAGTTCATCAAATGACGTGGGACTCAAAGGACCCCCGAAAAATTTATTTACGCAAGTTAACATGTGTAAAGTGCCCACCAAGTACACGGTGTCCTCACATGTCTTTATCAAAAAGTTGTTTTTATTTTGAGGAACATATTAATGAAAAACAGCATGTGGAGATTGAAGATGAAAATGAGAATGAGAAATGTATGCAAAACGAAGAAGAGATGTGTGTATTTGGGCACAGTAATAAAGGTGACCATAAAAATAAATATATAAATTTCTGGGAGGATGAGGATGAGGAGTTATTTTAATTTATCGAATTGTTAGGTTTTTATGATTATTACACATTACAATTTCTAATATTTTTTAACATGTGTACTAAGATGGTATAAAATAATTTTAAAACAATTATGCTCAATTATATTAGTATTAATTTGATTAATCATGAGACTGAGATTAATAGTGACATTAATGAACAATTATAAGTATTATGTTATAATACCTAATAAGAATATTACGAAGTATTATATTATCCTGATATGAGTATTAGAATAGAATATAATCATTTATTTCACATTATCAATTTCACAATATAAAGCTTAATACTATGTCAGAGGATAACATGATCGTCAGTAGTTATGTACATAATGTGTCGATAGCACATTATGGTCTCCAGGATCGAGAGCTAAACCAGTAATACTTAAAGTTCCTACATATTAAGTACATACCTGTATATGAAAGTAAATTGTTAATATTTTTGTGTTGATTTGTTTTTATTATAAGGATAAAGAGTTGTAATTATAACGCTTATTAAAGTTAATTTGGTAAATTATTCTTTAAATGTCACTTCCAAATTTTAAGTGTCACTTCCATGGAAGGGATAGTTTTTGGGGTTGCCATAGTTAGATAATTAAAGCATGCTATGCTCGGTGAGTATTTTTTGTAGCAGACTTAGACCAGTAGTAACCATATACCTCACTTTTTAAATCATTATTAATTATATATTTTTATTGTCATTTTCGTAGTCAGAAGTAAAAAACACCCAACTTGAAAATTGACAGAGTAGTCAGAGTACGTTACACATATTATAATTAATTTGATTGATTGCGAATTATTTAAAAATTTGTTGGTGATGTTTTTATTGCTATATATTACCATTCTTAGAAGAGTGTGTGAGTGTAAAGTTTGTGAGTTAAGTGTGTACATTAATACAAATAAATCATTAAAAAGAAACAGCAGAGGACTAAACATTAACAGTCACAATGTAGATTTTTTAAGTCTGATAAAATCATCTTCTGATTCAATACGAATTGTAGGCGTTCCTAGTCTCTTTCTTACGAATATTTTTCCATAGGCAGTCCAACAGCTTTCGTAATTCTCTTTTTTAACAAAGTCTCGAGCTAAGTAGAAAAGATGTTTGGCTCTGGGAGTTAAAGATTCCGAGACATAAATGGGTTTTAGTGATCCGGGTAAATGTATTTGAGCTGAATTTAATTTAGATTTAGAATTTGTTTTATTAAAAAATTTTACTGATTTTAAAAAATTTTCTTTCACAGACTTATTAGTAAATTCAACCAAAATAGGGTTTGAAGCAGTGTTCTTTGGCTTTAGTCTGTGAACGTCCTTTAAGTCAGTACTTTGTAAGGGTTGATCTACAGCACTGCCTATGTTCTTCACTATTTCTATAAGATCACTTTTATTTTCTGATTCCGAGGTAGAAATGTTTCTTATTTCCACCATAGCAGCACGCGCGTTCCGATCCAAGAACTCCATTTTATTCTCAAGAGAGGAGATCCGTTTTTTTAATGTTTCATTTTCCTGTTCAGTGTTCTCTAATCTCTCCAACAAAGAGTCGTACTGTTTTGAGAAAAATTCAATCGACTTTTTTTTACTTTTTTTTTTTTTTTACTGACGCTCAATTTTCGAAGAGTAGTATAAAATAACATGTAATTGTATTTGTATGAAATTTGTAATGTTGAGAGAAATAAACTAAAATAAACTATGGTTGTAGCAAAGACGATTTGGAATTCATACACAGCGAAACTGGAAGTGTTCGGCTCAACTCACACTGGCGCAGAGTGGAAGCGTCGCGACGCGTCATGTTTTTCGCCTGTAGCACATTCATCTTTATTTTCCCATAATTAAAGTACAAATTTCTGTTATGCAAATATGGAATCGCGTGTTGACGCGTGACGACGCGCCCCTTCGTGCGTCAACGCTTGGTTAAAGTCGAGCGGTTTCCTTGCGCGCAGTGAGGTGTGAGACGCTGACCACACTGATCCGGGCGATGTCCGGGCGCGCTAATGCGAGCTTCGTCGCGCGACGACGCGCGTTGTAGTTTGAAACAACATGCGTTGTAGTTTGAAAAACAGGGCGAGACGCGACGCTTCGACTCTGCGCCAGTGTGAGTAACTGAGTAGGGCCATAAAACTTAACTTATACATTCAATTAACATTTTATGATATAATTGTGAAAACAAACTCAGAAGATATTAAGATATTTGATTTTTTTTAAACACTACAATTTCATAAACATTGGAGTCAGTGTTATTAATTTATGGTTTCATCACAGTGTAAAGAATATACAGTGGGACATCGCCTTTGAAGTCTCGTGAAATGTCGCTTTCGTCTAGACATTACATCATACCGCAGGGTTGTCACCATATATTTTTCATTATTTAATCTGTTGGGGGTGGGTGTCATACTACTACATAGGGCGCACTATAAGTTACCGGAACTGGCCACTTATACATATAAACAATATTTAAGAAGTAATTGCAACATTTGAAAATGGAACTCTTTGGCTGTAGAATACAGTTTGTTTCATCTGACTGTCACTTGTTTTTATATTGTGGCGTCATTTTAGAAATTGATTGTCTACATCACCATGGATTTAAGTCGTGAAAATTTTCGTAGTATGATTTTCTACGACTAAGTGTAATTTAACAGCTCAACGGAGCTTCGCTCGGCTTCAAACTGCTTTTGGCGATGAATTACCATGCAAGACGACCAGTTGGTATTTAGGTAAGTGGCCAGTTGGTATGTAGCAGAGCCATCCTATAGGTGGCAGCAGTAGGTACTCCATGTACGACCGGAGTTGTGCTTGGTACAGCTGAAACAACTGTCCCGGTGTGAAGTAACGCCTCGCCCTGGAATGGATATCAAGCTGCATGTTTGGCCATGGATTCAATGTATCTGCCGGAGTACAAATTGGACGACAGGTCCATTCCAAGTAGCTGGAGACAGTCGGCTATCAGTATGGATATATCACGAAAAGGTATAGCGTCTGGTACGCTATGTTAGAAGACGTCGGTTCGAATCCGGCCGGATCGAAGGAATTTTTTCTGAGTGTCCGATCTTTGTATTAATAATTATAACATATTTTTATGTTTCAACGTTTTATTTTAAACAAAACACTCTCTCACTCAATTTTTTCCAAGTTTTTCTGATTAATTGACTCGCTTCAGTCCAAAACTTGCATCTGAAAATAATAATAAAAAAGCTACTTTGCTTAAGTATTGTATCAAGTCGATTCAATTATGATATTCATAATCATCAACCCCGATAACAGCTAAAACGATACCCGTAATGCTTTTATTTGAAAAGTCGTGTCAGCTATCTTGGATTTAGAAATAAATGCTATATTCATAATGAGCACCCCCAAATACTTCGGAAACTATTCCCAATTTGCCGTTATTTGAAAAGTCGTGCCCGCTATCTTGAATTTAAAAATAAGTGCTATGTTCGATGAGCACCCCCAAAGGTACGAAAATGATCAAAATTCCAAACAAAATAAAATTGTTTGACTCACCTTTCTTATTTATGCGGAAACTAATGAAATTTAAGATTTTTATCTAAGCGAGATTATAATATTGAGTCTAACAGCACAGTAGTATGTACATACCATTTTCCACTCCACAAAATCACTACAAAAATCACACGAAGCATTTAACGTAAATGCCGCAACCCTGAATGGTGTGTCCTGAGCGAGTGTATGGTAGCTCGGGCTCGCACCTGCCCCTCTGTCTAGACGTGTCCGTTGGCCGACTGTAATCCCAATTCATCATGTAATCCCAAGAAACTTTTTTAAAGGCTTCAAATTGATAGAAAAAAAGTACTGCTGATCTTGATGGTCTTTCCGCCAATATACTTAATGCTTTAGATGATTGTATTGGACGTTAAAATTAGCATCTAACTAAAATAGCGTCTCTTTAACAAATGTGTTGTCAACGGTATTTTCTAACCTCTAAAAGCAAGCAAAGTTATTCCTCTTTTTAAATCTGCCAGTATTTCAGAACTGACTCGTCATCATTAGGGTCAGAGGTACAGAACCCAAAGAGACTGAAATCAAGAGCATTTATATTTTCTATTATATATATTCTGCATTTTATCACTTATACTCCTTCTGAGGCAAACATGTTGGATTCCCTGGAAGATTTGTGTTGTGGGGCTAAGATTACTGAACGCTGATGACGCTGTCCTCATATACACAAACGAATCTATAAAGAAATTGCCGACAAGGTGAACGAGTGTATTTATAGTGTTTGCAATTACACTGACTCAAAAAGGAAATTAAGCAAGTATTAAATTCCAACCGGTTGTTTTTCTATTTAATCTTTTCAAATTTCATTTGTTAACATTTTGTGATTTAGTCTTCAGAAGCAGGAGAAGCAGAAACAGAAGCAGCAGCAGAAACAGAAACAGCCGAAACAGCAGTTGCAAAAGCAGCAAAAGAACCAGCAGAAGCGGAAGAAGAAGCAGCAGAACTTCTATTTTCTATAGAAACATTTGCTTGAACTCTTTTGATATTATATGATTACCACAAACTTGGTTATTAGAAGTTATAAAAGACAGCAAATTATTTAACAATCAGCACATCGTTTGAAATAAATAGCGATCGGGATTATACTAAAACTTATTTTTTCCATCCTCTAAGACTAAAACTCAACAGTCCTTGTGAGGTGAAGTTATGAAAAGAGCTCACATGATGAACTTAATTAAATTCTAATAATACTTACATAAGAATTTTCATCAAAAAATTTCATTATGGAGCGCCAAATGCAAAAATAAAGTTTCTTGTGTCCATGAGCTTATTATATAATATGATAATAATTAGTAGAATTGAGACTTGGTAAATTAGCCCAATCTTTAAAATGTAACAATTGGCTAGTATATACGAGAGAGGGAAAATTGCCATAACATTTTTGTAGGAAATCTTTCCAAATAATACAATTAATTTCTGTGATGGTTGCCCTGAGCAAACATACGCTTGCTTGGTTAATTTGCCTATTAAATAGAAAGCCACTATGAAATTTTTTAAATAAAATAAAAATTATAGAACACTGGGAATATATGGGAGAGTTGAGTAATACCGAGCCCCTAAGCAATAAAGCCAATAATTAAGCTCAAGCTTGGGTTATAAAAATAAAATTTATAGCCGTAAGTAGGTGATTTATTTGGGTACACAAATAGTATAGCATAATCTTCATTAACAAATACAAAAGGCAGTTGTTGTAAAATTTCTAAAAAATGGCAAAACGCGGTATTATCAAACTGGTCTAGTCTCAGGTGTAACAAAACCGTGCCCGGATAAATTTATATGATACATAAACAAATTTCTAAGTTGACATATACTCGTGTGTATTAATTAATAAGAGTCTAGAATAATGTCTTTTACAGCAAGATAATCGAATACTAAAATGTTAATAATAAATAAAGTTAAACAAATAGATGGGTAGGTGAATAACATTTGCCTACTCTGTACTTATTTTCTGAAGAACTGGCAGACTTGGTAGCTCTTTGAATTGAAGTGAAGGTGTTTACGTCTTCAATCTTAAAAATATTTCACTACTGTCGATACATTCTAACGACATTTGGTAGCTATTTATCTAATCCCTTCGAAATTTTTCTTATCTTTGATAATTCGACATTTTTGTATGTGAGCGTTTTCCGCAAACTTATTCTTCTCACTGTGTACGTTACTTTTCGAAACTTTCTTTTTAGCCGGTTATTCTTTAGATTCGTTTTTTTCTACTCCTTCTTCCATTCAACATGTTTGCCAAATAAAATTCTCATAGTTTGCCCAAATATGATAATATCGTGCTCTAAGCATGGACTTGTCAAACGCAGTCACTTTGCTTTCAAATCACAAAATAATATAAAAAAGCAAACTATATTTCGGAAATGATTTTGCATAATAATTCTACAATATTTTAACACTTCAAATATGTTAAAGGGTGAATATCTCATGCAGTCCAGGCTGAGAAACCAGGTGTAAAGTGAAGAAATATTAATGATTTATTTTTTATAGTTTAATTAGACGTAAAATGAGTTTAGGGCAAGAATTTCAAAAAATTCATTGTACAATAATAACTAATAAAAAATATTAATGTCCCGATTTTCAGTTTTGCTGTTGTGTCCACTTTCTGTTTCATTGTATAAAATAGTCGTTCCGGTAAAATGTGTACGCTTTTAAGAAAAATAATTCCATGTATGTTATTCACTATGAGAAGCGCTAACTAAAATCATTGAAAGTATTGCAATTACCAGTATGTGGGAAACTGGGTATTTAATCAAACTTTGTCCACGCGAGAATTGTAGTTTTGGTGGCAAATATTCAACTGGTTGCAACTGGCAAGTAGTTTAACTAAAAACCATTACGTTCTTGCCCCGCGCAAGCCTCAGTCGTGTATTAGGACCTGGCAGCGAAAAGCATGGGCACTGGGTTCCATTTCCCGCCAAAAAAGTAATTATATGCCCTTTGGTGGCACGTGTGACAAAAAATATTCAGCTTCCCTGGCTCCATTTGGGCTCAATTTTTGTTTTATCCTAAGGTCGTATTCTGAAACCAAATTAAGAGACTAATTTTGTCATTATTTTATCACAATTTAATCGTCTCGGTTTTATTTTTAAGCTTTTACTTTTTTTTCCCGTAACTTATTTTTTGAGATTTAATCTTACGTGGCTCAAATTTAGTGGTTTTGGTGGCGTTTGTGTTACCACTTTAACTTAAAAACGCCACCAAATTTTAAATTGTTATGATATTTTTGAATATAACGTTCACTTTCGAAAATTGTTTTAAAGTAGGTATTATAGTTTATTTGTCCCAATAAAGTTAAGAAAGATAGTGTTATTCATAATTTTTCAGATAACCAAAAATTACTTAATTGCTTTTTAATCTATTTGTAACTTAGCGATTTTTTCAATTTGTATTTTACTTAAATTAACGGTGATATCATTGATTAAATGATTTTGTTCAAAACGTCAAACACGAAAATTTAGTTCATTGGTAGTTGAATAACTACGATAGACTACGCTATCTCCAGGAATGTTTTCTGAAGATAAATTGTAGAAACTCAAATGTTTACCATGAGGACATGCGGTGGGTTTATCGAGACATTGAGACTTGATGTGAAATAAGGCACAGAATGCTAATTTAGAGTTGTTACTTTTTTCCAAATAACCTGAAGAAATAACACTTGGTACATTTATAACTAACTAGTGGAGTAATTTCACAAAAAATAATTGAATATCATAGTGGTGAAATATCTTGACATTCAATAAAATTTATTTACAACCTGAAGAAAATTTTGAGGTTGTAAATTTGTAAAAAAAAAAAATTTGTAAAAATGTTGTAAAAGGCCAGTCTTTTCTACAATTTCGTAACTTTCTACAGGTTTAATTTTAATTTTATCAATGGCAGGTTTTAATGCCAGATAAACGAATAAATATCAGTAATGTTGTTCCCAAATGACACTTTGATCTGCAGTTCTATTTAATAATCCTTCAACTCCTGGGCACCCTTGCCATGGCCACATTCGCAATAATCGCGGGTGCCCCGGATGTAGTTGGAGGATTTTTAAAGACAACTACAGATCAATCAGTGTCGTTTGGGAATGACATTACTGACATTGATTCGATCATCTGGCGTTAAAAGCTACCGGTAATAATATTTAAATTAAACGTGTACATTACGAAATTGTTCAAAAAGACTGGCTCATTCTTCAGGTTATTTGAAGAAAAAGTAATAACTCTAAATTAGTACTCAGTGCCTTATCAACACACCATCATCTGATGATGATGAGATGATGGTGTTTCAGTCCAACTACTCAAAGCAGGAGGAAATCCTGTGGTAAAAGTGCTTGTGAAACTTTTCAACAAAGTTTTCATGAAGCTCGAACACCAGAGCAATGGAAGAATGCCATCGTCACCACCATCCACAAAAAAGGCGACATTGCAAAACTTAACAATTATCGGCCGATTAGCTTGCTCTCTCAGATTTATAACTATTTACAAAGATTTTGACCATCTGGCTTACCAGTGAACTTGACGAAGCGCACCCTATTGAGCAGGCTGGCTTTCGGAGCGGCTTCTCAACCATCGACCATATCCACACGGTTAATTAGCTGATGGGGAAATGTCTCGAATATAACCGGCCCCTTGTCATGGCCTTCGTCGATTATGAGAAGACTTTTGACAGTATCAAACATTGGGCCGTGTTTCACGCTCTTCATCGCTGCCACATCGATTCCCGCTACGTGGATGTGCCCCGGGAGCTCTACCGTTCAGCCACTCTGCAGGTACGAGTTCACGATTTAACCGATACCGTTCCAATCCGGCGAGGACTTGAAGATGACGTAAAAACCCTTAAATGGGATAACCGCGGCATTAACATCAATGGTGTAACGCCATTTGTCTCACCTAAGATTCACGGACGATCTCGTGCTATTTGCAAGTTTCGACGATCTCCAAAGGATGCTGGAACAACTTTATGATGCTTCTTTGAGAGTTGGCCTAAGGATGAATATGTCCAAGACGAAGATTATGGCGAATCTCTCCAGTCCGTCAAATACCACTGTCACGGTGGGAAATGAGATGCTGGAGAGAGTCGATCAGTACGTCTGTCTCGGACATGTTCTATCCTTTGGCAAAGAGCATCAGCCTAAAGAGATCTCAAAAAGAATCCAGCTGGGATGGGCTGCGTTTAGCAAGTTAGGTGACATCCTTAAATCAGGTAAGGTTCCACAGTGTCTGAAGACCCGCTTGTTTAATCAATGTGTTCTGACCGCCATGACGTATGGTGACGAGATGTGGACGCTCACGCAGGAGACTCTCAACCTGCATACAGATACAGGTTGAGAGTTGCACAGAGGGCCATGAAGCGCGCTATGCTCGGCATCAGCCTTGTAGACCGAGTTCCGATCGTTGAGATCCGACGATGGACGAAAGTCTAGGATGCTGGAACTCGGATCATGGAACTCAAATGGGAATGGGCGGGACGCCTAGCTAGGCAAGGTGATGATCAGTCGATGTCTTGTTCCACCAACAAGACATCGACTGATTGGTGGCGGAGGATGGGCAAAAGATGCGTCTGGCGCCCTGTTGCAAGGTGGGTCGACGATATGGTGCGCGTCGCGGGGTGTGAATGAATGCGGCTAGCACGGGACCGTGATGGATGGCTCAAACTTCGGGAGGCCTATACCCAGCAGTGGGTGAAATAAGTCTGTGAATGATGATGATGCCTCATCAAGCCTTAATGTCCGGAGAAACCTGCCGTATGTCCTCATGGTAAACATTTGGGTTTCTACAACTTATCTTTAGGAAACATTCGTAGAGATGGCGTTGTGTATCATAGTTCTTCAACTGCCAATTAAAACAACAATGAATTCATTCACTAAAATCCAGGGAAGTACTGCCACCTTACCTATTTCTGCCGCCAAGCAGTAATGTTAGCATAGTTAGGTTTGGAAGGGTGAGGGTGCTGGTGAAGTTACAGGCACATG